GGGTGCTGTGCCGCAGAGGGGTGCTGCGCTGCAGAGGGGTGCCGCTGCGGAGGGGTGCTGTGCCGCGGAGGGGTGCTGTGCTGCGGAGGGGTGCTGCGCTGCGGAGGGGTGCTGCGCTGCGGAGGGTGCTGCGCTGCGGAGGGGTGCTGCGCTGCAGAGGGTGCCGCGCTGCAGAGGGGTGCTGCGCTGCGGAGGGGTGCTGCGCTGCGGAGGGGTGCTGCGCTGCGGAGGGGTGCTGCGCTGCGGAGGGGTGCTGCGCTGCAGAGGGTGCCGCGCTGCAGAGGGGTGCTGCGCTGCAGAGGGTGCCGCGCTGCAGAGGGGTGCTGCGCTGCAGAGGGGTGCTGCGCTGCGGAGGGGTGCTGCGCTGCGGAGGGGTGCTGTGCTGCGGAGGGGTGCTGCGCTGCGGAGGGGTGCTGCACTGCGGAGGGGTGCTGCGCTGCAGAGGGTGCCGCGCTGCAGAGGGGTGCTGCGCTGCGGAGGGGTGCTGCGCTGCGGAGGGGTGCTGTGCTGCGGAGGGGTGCTGCGGAAGGCTGCCCTGGCAAGGCTGCCAAGGTGGGGTCGGGTCAGCTGAGTGCGCAGGCCGGCTGGCGCGAGGGAGGCCGCTGGCCAGCCAGAGACAGCCTGACCTGCCGCGTCCACAGCCTCAGCCCCGGCAGGGAGCCGGGCCAGACCCCTGGGGACAGGGAGGGCATCCCCTGAGTCCCACAGCATCCAGGGGCCCGGGGTGACCTGGGCTGGGGGAGGGGAGAGACCTCACTGTCCCCTCCTGCCCTCCCCCTCCCATCCCCTCTCCCTCCTCCTCCCTACCTGCCCCTCTTGCTCCTTTCCCTCCTTCCCTTCTCCCCACATCCTCTGCCACCCCTCCCCCCTCTTCCTCCCCCCTCCCCCCTTCCTTGTCCCCTCTCCTCCTTTCCCTAGATCTACTTCTATCCCTTTTCCCTCTTCCTTCTTCCAGATCTCCCTCTAGCCCTTCCTTTCTCCCTCTGCTCCTCCTCTTCTCCACCTTCATCCTCGAAAGCCAGGCGGGCTCCAACCCCAAACCTTCCCGCTGCTCTGCAGTCAGGCCTTTCTGAGACATTACCTAACTGTGCTTCCTTACCTAATTCCCACCCCACAACTTCTGTGCCTACCCCCAGGAGGGGGCCAGATGCTTGGCCAGCCCCAGCTCCTTGGAACAGCATGGATCGGCCTCTGGGCAGGCCTCTCTGGTCTCTCTGGCCTCTCTGGACTGGTCTCTCTGGTCTCTTTGGGCTGGCCTCTCTGGTCTCTCTGGCCTCTCTGGGCTGGTCTCTCTGGTCTCTTTGGGCTGGCCTCTCTGGTCTTACTGGCCTCTCTGGACCAGCCTCTCTGGGCTGGCCTCTCTGGTCTCTGGACTGGCCTCTCTGGTCTCTTTGGGCTGGCCTCTCTGGTCTCTCTGGACTGGCCTCTCTGGTCTCTTTGGGCTGGCCTCTCTGGGCTGGCCTCTCTGGGCTGGCCTCTCTGGTCTCTCTGGTCTTTCTGGCCAATCTGGGCCGGCCTCTCTGGTCTCTCTGGACTGGCCTCTCTGGTCTCTCTGGGCCAGCCTCTCTGGGCTGGCCTCTGGCCACCTGTGTGTCCTGGGCTTGATCCCACCTGTGAAGCCCCCGAAGCCGCTCAGCCAAGGCCATGGTGAGCCTGGTGGGGCCTCCTCCCCATCTGTGCCCACCAGCCAGGATGGACACCTCATCCCCTAGTAATGGCCTAGAAGCCTCTTCTTCCCCTGGGAGGTGGAGAAGCACGGCCCAGCTGATAAGGCACCTCTGTCCACCGGGGGACGAGGTCAGATGTGTGGGCCTCTCTCTCCTGGGAGGCGTGGGGTGAGCCGTGGGAACTGGTCAGCCAGGGAGCCCAGACAGAGGCAGGGGCTGGCCTCCACTGCTGGGCCTCTGTGTAAACGGAGGGGCAGGCAGGAGGAGTGGGTTCAAGCCAGCACCCCGCCTCGCGCACATGCGTGTCCGTGCACACACCCCGTCCTCGTGCACATGCGTGTCTGTGCACGCACCCCGCCTCGTGCACATGTGTGTCCGTGCACACACCCCACCTCATGCACATGCGTGTCCGTGCACACACCCATCCTCGTGCACATGCATGTCTGTGCACACACCCCGCTTCATGCACATGTGTGTCTGTGCACACCCCCCGCCTCGTGCTCATGCCTGTCCGTGCACACACGCCCAGTCAAGCGTGTCCTACACCCATGGGCACAACTGCACGCACAGACCCACCCCTCTGCACATCCACATCCACACCTGTGGACACGTCCCAACCACACAGACACACAGACACTGGAACGTGCTCACAGATCCAAAAACCCATCTGGACGCACAGGCGCACTCCAAAGGGCACCAGGCCACCAGGGAAGGCCAGGTGTCCAGAGAGGTCGCCTGGACAAGGGGCTGTGCCCCACACGCATCCCACCCCCCCACCCCCAGGCAGAGCAGGCCGGGCTGTGTCCCCCCACCCCTCGCCGGGCTGTGCCCAGTGGCTGGCCCTGCTGTTCCAACTGGCCCAGACAGCTACACTGGACCCAGCTGCCTTCGGCTGCCCTCATCTGGGAGGAGCGGCTCCGTTCACACCTCCTGTCCACTCGGGCAGAGCCAGAGGCTGCCCAAGGAGCCCTCACTTGCCTGCCTCTGCTCCTGTTCCTTTCCACTCCCTTTCCTCCATCCTTCCTTCTCCCTGTCCTCCCCCAACATTCTCTACTCCACAGGTCCCCCTGTCCCTGCTCCTCTACCCAGAACCCCCCACGCCTCCTCCACAGGTCCGCCTGTCCCTGCTCCTCTACCCAGAACCCCCCACGCCTCCTCCACAGGTCCCCCTGTCCCTGTTCCTCTACCCAGAACCCCCCACGCCTCCTCCACAGGTCCCCCTGTCCCTGCTCCTCTACCCAGAACCCCCCACGCCTCCTCCACAGGTCCGCCTGTCCCTGCTCCTCTACCCAGAACCTCCCCCCGGCTTTTCCTGTCTCTTCCCACCAGGACCCTCCCTCCTCTTCCTCTGGTTCAGGCCCTCCGGCACCTCCAACCCCTCCGTCCTGCCTCCTCTTTTCTCTCCACATTCTCCTCTCCCCTCCTCTCTTCCCAGGACCCGCAGAACCCTTGTGAAAGCAGCAGACTGAGGCTGGCTATAATTTAAAATACATTTATTTAGTGTTTCCATCTGTCTTGGGTTCTGTTATACAAAGCTGTTAAATAAATACATTCTCCTCAGTCACTCAGGTACACACCTACTTGCTACACAGATGAGGTAGAGAAATCAATCGGTTCACACAAGACTCCACACCAAGATGGCGCCCCTCCTGTGTCTCACCCCGCGCTGCTGCGGCCCCGTGGCCAGGGCCGCTGCCGGGGAGGCGGCCTGGGCTGGCCGGCCCACAGCGCGGGCGCCGGGGAGGGAGGCGGGCACGCTCCACGTGCTGTGCAGAGGCCTGCCCTCCGCTCTGCCCCACAGAAAAGCAGGAGAAAGAGAGGTCCAGCACGTGGGAGCCGCTGCTTCGCTGAGCAAGACATTCTAACATACCGTTATATAGAAACAAACCAGCCAGCAGACATTTTCAGTCTGCCTTGGTTAAAAAAATACTTTTCTGAATATTCAGGACATAGAGCTAAGTGTTCCTATTTGATTTTTAAAACATCCTTCCTTTGACCCAACACCCTTTCCCAGAGCCAACGGTGGCTGAACTCCTCTTGGGAGGATGGGGGGGCAGGTGGGGTGCTGCACCCCTCACCCCCGCCCACCCCTGCCTGTGCTGTCACACGCGGCCGCCCACACTCGCTCCGGGACAGGGCACTGACTGGGCTGTCATCTGAACCACAGGAGAATAAACTTTGCTATTTACACTATCCAAGAGGGACCAGGGATCCACATCCACATAAATATGTTTTCTTTTCAAACAGTCCCCCTTCCGCTTCCTGGACCCTGGAGTTCTGGGGGTCCTGCTCCTTCCTCAGTAGTTTCCTGCCTGCTGCCTTCCCAGACCCCAGCACCCCCCCAGGACACCCATCTGAACCAGTCCAAGTCCAGAGTCTCAGGAGCCAAAGAGCCACCGTAGGGGCCCTGTGAAGGGGCACGCTGGCCGTGCCAGCACAGCATGCACAGCGTACACACACACACTCACACACACACACGCGCACACACACACACACACACACACACACACATGCACATTCACACCAAACCAGGCCAGTGTAGGCACCCTCCCCCTGGAGAGACCGTCCCACAGCCAGAAAGACGGCACCCTGTCTGCCTGGTCCCTGTGCGGCCCCTCGGGAGAAGGGCTTCCAGGGGCTGGCCAGCCTGCCTGTGCCTGCTCCTGGCCCCAGGAAATGCACTCCATGGCCCAGACGCTGGGCCGTCTGTCCATGGAGAGCAGAACAGGTGTGGCGGAGAAAAGGGCTTCCACAAGTCCCAGGCTGTGGCTAGGTTTGCTCCTTCATTCCTTCCTCAACATCACCTTGATCTAGTGGTTTCCAAGAGCCAGCAGGGAAGCAGGGAGTGTGAGGGGTCAAGAAGAGGAGCCTCCCTGGTCAGCTCTGCTCAGCTGGGGTGAGTCAGAGGGGGTGGGGCAGCCTGGGGCAGCGGGGCGGAGGGCATAATAATTACTATATTAAATAACAATAATTTAAAGGTCACTGTTACTCCAAAGAGAAGTGCTCCTACGAGAGGCGGGGCCTCCATGCCTGGGAGCCTGGCGCGCACTCTCCTAGTGGTTTGGCTCTCTGAAGACGGTGCTGTGTGGGGTGCGGGGCCGGCACCCACGGGCAGCCGTGGGGCTGTGAAGGTGCACTTTCCCCCAAGCTTCAGGAGGAGCCTGGGGGGGAGGGGCAAGCGACAGACCGGGGTCCTGGCCAGGGCCCACTCCAGGGACAACCTAGAAAGCATTGCTGCAATACTCTCGGGTCAGGAAGGAAGCTCAGGTCTGGGACACAAGCAGAGTGTCGGGGGCCAGACAGGACCCACTGGGACACTGCGGTCACCTCTGTCACCTCTGAGCTTTGAGGGGGGCAGGGCCGACTCAGCTGACTGGCTGCTGCACGCCGAGGCCCCAGTGGGCCGGGGAGGCCCCCAGGCCTCGCAGTACAGATCCTGTGTACTGCGCACAATCCTCCATCCCATAAAGCAGGGCTGGTCGGACCTCGGGGCTCAGCCCTCCCGGTGGGAGACCCTTTGTACTGTGTGCAACGCCCATCACCCATTCCGTGGAGCTGGCCAGGCCTGGGGCTCGGCCCTTGCAGGCGCAGACCCCTGTGCACTGCCTGCACCTCCGATGGAGGGGACTGCAGTCTCTCAGGCTAGGCCTCTCCCACAGTGCGCCGCACCCGCGCCCCACGCAGCAGAGCTGCGGCGCTGGGGCTCAGCCCTTGCAGGTGTAGACCTCCTCTCGCTGTGTGCACTGCCTGCACTCCACGTAGCAGCACCAGCGCACCTGGCACTGGCAGGGTCTCGTCACCACCCGGCTCTGTGTGTTGTGGCCTCGGCCACAGCAAATACTCTCACAGTTCTTCTCGCGGTGGCACCTGCGGCCAGCGGTGCCTGGGGAGAAGCGGCCGGCCAGACAGAAGCTGGGGGAGTCGTCCAGGTGGACAAGCTCGGGCGTGTGAGGCAGCGGATCGCCCCCGCCCGCCCCCAGGGCCCGCCCCCGGGGTGGGGAGATGGCGGCGGCCTCGCCAGTGGCCTCGTTGGTGGTGCTGCCCACCTTCAGTGCGGTCTCGTACTTGTGCTTCAAGTGCTTGCCCACCTCGTGGAAGGGCGCCAGCTGCCTCCAGCAGGTCCGCACGGTGCAGGAGCCAGACACACCGTGGCACTTGCAGGTGGTCTCCACCCCGGCCTTGATCACCTGCGGGCGGAGCGGGGAGGCCGTGAGCGGCGGGCCTGGAGGCTCGGCTTGCAGATGGCCCGGGGGAGGCTGGAGCAACTGCCCATCTGGCACCAGACCCAGACTCAGCCCTGGGCCAAGTCACCAAGTCTCACACACATGAGGCCCCAGGACCCTGGCTCCCTCCCTAAGGCCAGGGCTGGGCTCCCCAGAGAGATCATCTTCCTGATATCCTCACCCACCATCCCAGTCCCACGGGGTCTCCCATGTCTGGTCTCCACACACTGCTCACTGGACAGGCAAAGACAAACACGACCTTCAGCTCTGGCTGGCGTCCTGACGGACAACCTCCTTACCCAAGTATTAAGACCAGCGGAGGCGTAACCTAAGCCATTGCCAGCCAGGACGCCAGTGCAGGGAACACAGACATGCAGAAGGACAGACTCACACCTCCCAGAGAGAGTAACTCCAGGGAGGACAGTCTCAAAGTGCTACCCGGGAGAGCTCCCAGGGCCAGTCCCACAGGTCGACACAGAAACTCCAGCTATAGCTAGCTGTCCCTTCCCCAAACGGGAGTCCCACCTGCTCCCACAGGCCAGCTTTCCCCAGGGACTTCCTGACGCCCACTCCTGGGGTTCGTGAGGCTGTGGGGCTGAAGCAGGTCAGGAGGCCTCTTTCCAGGCAGGCCTGAGCCAGGCTGCTAAGCTCTTACATGCTCCCAGGGGGGCCCAGCTGGAGTGGGATTAAGAAATGCACCCCCCACACCTTCCTGCTGCAACTGAAGAGCCCCACTTATTAAAGATGTTTTGCTGAGAAACCTCGGACAAATTTAATTAAAACCTGGCTGCCTCAGGCCCAGCAGTCCACCGGAGCACTCTAGCACATTCGACTTTTCATTAATACCTCACAAAAGGGCAAGGGGGGAGGAGGAGTCGCTGGGAAGAAGAGAGCCGCCCGTCCTCAGGGATTTGATCTGCCCTTGCGGGCCCACTCTGCCTGCCAGCCTTTGCCCAGGGAGGCGGAGGGAGACAGCATAGGATTGGTCAGAAAGGGGGAATCCAGTCTCTAGTAAGTGGGGGATTCTCACTAAAGAGGAGCTCAGGGCTGGACTGACTCTAATTACATCCCTTTCCTTCCCAGACTAGGGGTCCACAGCCCAGCAGGGACAGGAGAGGAAAGGCCCTCTGCTCTGGAGAGAGGCTCTGGCCCTGCCCTTCTGTAGCCCTTTCTGACTGAGTCTGGGACCAGTGTGTGGTGGCTTGCGTTGTTCAGGGGTGGTCTGGAGGTGCTGGTGCCAGGGTTAGGGAACTAATGTTCCTTCCCGGCCCCATGGGTCTGGGAGCTTTGTGACTGAAAGTGGCACTGAGCAAAGCCAGGGCTCAGACCTTCCAGGGCCTACTGGAGAGCCGGGGGAGTGGGCATCTGTCCTCAACAGTCTACAACAGACAGAGGCAAGGCGGGGGAGACCTGACTTGGGCGAATAGGTTCCCCCTCCCCCCCACATACACACCAACCACTCCTCTGGGCCACACCAGGGCCACCCTGACTTATTAGGTCTTCAGTGACAAGAAGGCATGGTATCCTGGAATACAGCCCACCAGCCCTCACATTAGACTGTCCAACTGAGAAGGCCCTCGGGGGCCTTGTAACCAGGGACAGAGGTGCAGTCAGCTTCCTGTGGCTCATCTCCAGGAGGAGATGGGGGGCGACCAAGGCCCCTCCAGGACTAGTGACCTCCGCTGACATCTAACAAATCCACTGCAAGCAGGACGCCAGGAACCGGGCTAGCACTGCAGGGTAGCCTGTGGCTAGACGATGCCCAGCCCTGCCCCAGCCCCCCTGCGCCCCG